GTGGGGTGGGGAAGGGTACTCCGCTGTGCTCTCCAGGAGGAGGGGGTGGGGCAGCATGGGCCAAGGCTGCCTCCTTTGTGAAGGGGTTCGAAAGATCCACAGAGGGTAGATGAGTGGGTGCATCTCGAGAGAAGATACCACCATGATCCTTAGGAGGGGCAGGTGGGGCAGATGACGGCCCCACTGGCTCTCTTTGGAAGGGTGCCCCATGTTCCAAGGGGGATGGGGGAAGATGATGCTCAAATGTTGAGTTGAAACTGTTGGAACGAAAGCTGCCGACGCTTTCCTGAAATTGGGGTGCCCGTTCCTTGTATGGTGCTGCTTTAAAGCCAGTGAGGCCTCCGCTGCCCCCACCCCCAAGGGATGCCAACTCAGAGGCACTTGAAGGGCCATTGTCAAAAGAGCTGCCTGAGGTGCTCAGATCAAACCAACCCACCCTTGAAGCCTCACGCCCATGTCCTCTATTTCCCTTCCCAGGAACTCGGACGGACTCTACGGTCTGTATTGGCTCCCCAGACATCCTCCTATTGGATGCATTATGATAACCCAAGGTTTCTATGGGGGCCCCCTTTTCTTCAGTGCTGTCAGGCAAGTCTAAGCAGGAGGAGGAGACGCGGGTTTCTATGCGGTGGTAGTGCTCTTCTTGCTGCTGCTGCTCAGTGACGGTCAAGCTGGGCTGGGTGAGGTTTGAGAGACTGACACCGTCACTTGAAGTGCCCTTGCTGGGGGCCTGGGCAAAATGCTTATCATCGGAGGGCTTTCGTGAGGCGTTTTTAAGCATATTCTTAAACTCAATCGTCGACGTGGTGGAAATGGTGGAGGCCAGGACTTTCTCCACGCCTGATGTGGGTGGAAGGCCCGTGGGAGCAGCAAGGGTATTCTGCGGAGAGAAAAGGGAACGATGTGGGACTTGGTGAGGAGAGTCTGGGTACTGCTTCTGTGGCAAAGTGAGATGCCCAGTGGTAGATTGAGACAAGCTATTGTGGTTGGAGTCGGGGGTGAAAAATGAATCATTCTTACTCGGTGACGGTGACCGGTTAGACCCAGGTTCATTCCCTCTTATGTTGAAGGCACCAAACAGCCCAGGGGAAGGTGAGAGAAGGTCACAGTTCTCACTAGAGTCCAGGAGGGCCCTTACAGATGGAGGGAAGGCAGACTTTACCCCAAATTCTTGGGCTCTGTGACTGTAACTGGACAGGATTGGCTGGTACTCGGTGGTATCAGAAAGCTTGCTGGATTTCAGGATAGACTTGGCTGGTTTCTTCTCTAGGTTCATCATGGCAGAGGGTGGAGGCCCTGAATAATCAAAATCTCGGTAATCCTCATCTTCCTGGAAAGAAGTATCTGGATAGAACTTTTCCTGTGAAGAGTCCATCAGGGAAGATGGTCTCTCCATTCCATCAGAAGGCTGCTTATAGGGTGATTCACTGCCCAGGCCAAAAGGTCGATATGTAGATACAGAATTGGAGAGCTCCCGGGGGTAGCTTTCCTCTCTCCCAGGGGGTGGTGATCTTGTACTGCTGGGTGTTGAAGAACCAGGGCTAATGATCTTAGAAAGCAGGGACATGGTATCTACACTGCTGGATGTGGGCTTGTCCATCATCTCATCTTGGGTGGGCGTCCCGCTGCGTTCATCCCGCACAGGGGTTCCATCAATGTTGTCGACTGAAGTGCTAGTAGGGCCACGCTGGAAGTCTGAGGGATGGCTTTCTGCTGGGGCACTGGACCCCAAACTGCTCAGGATTGGGATGTTTAAATTTAAGCCACTGAAACCAGGATTACCTTTTAGGAAGTTATGGATCTTCATTTCCAGGCTTGGGGAGGTGGACTCGGACTCCAGCTTTGGCTTGGAGATCTCTGAAGATTGGCACATGGCAACTTCAGTAGGTGGGGCAGCAGGGCCAGTACTGTGGGTGCCTGTAAACCCCAGAGAGGTGGACGGTAGCTTGAAAGTAGTGCTTGGAAGCCCTGGGCTTTGCCCAATTGAGGCCTTGCTGACTGAAGTTGAAGAGACTTCAGATGTTGATGAATTAGGAGAATAGTTGAAGCTTTTGGGAATAAAGGATTGGGTATTGGAGGGCAGATTTCTTCCTTTTATATTAGAGACTGTGGTGGTGTTGGCAGGGGAAGCTGAAGTGCTCTGGGATGCAGCTTCACTGGCTGGAACTGGGTTCCCAGTAACACTCTGAAGTAAAGATGACAGGCCTGTAGAAACAAAGATTAGAGGAGTTAAAAAGAACAACTCCCTACTTTACAATAAAAACAATTTAGGCTAACTGGATAGTCTCAATCATTCCAGTGGGAACCAGACAGACATTAAAATATGAGGCCAAAGGGAATCCTGACCAAGTAAGCAATTGCTAAATGTCACAGAAAACACTGGACTTATTTGTCAATATAAAGAGAACAAATCACTGAAATGTTTCTAGTACAGTCGTGAACAAGTCCAAAATGGCACAATAAAAGGCAACAGGAAGGTGGAGATTTTAGTGTCAGAATCATTTATAGTTTGAACAAGAGAAAGCAGGAAAAGAAAGGAAGCAAAATTATTCTTAAAATAACACTTGAAGCCAGTATTTCTTTCTTTCTTTTTTGTTAATCCTCACCCGAGGATAATTTTTCCATTGATTTTTAGAGATAGTGGAAGGGAGGGGGGAGG